TGCTCAGCCTTCATCCCACAACAAAGTACAAAATGTCTCATATCCACTACCCCTTGATAGGTTCAAGAAAAAAGATACCTGTGCTAATATCAGGAAGGAACATTGTCCTCACTATTTTCGCTTGCAAAGTCACTCTATTCCTGCTAAGATATGCCCTTTTTTTCACTCGCTTTTCTTTACCCCCTTGCTCTTGGAATTACAAACTGGATACAGTCTTCTTTATAATGTGGCTGGGATAGGGAATACAAAAAGCAAAACAAAACAAAATACACTTTATCGGCTGCACATTATGGTTCAGAATGGACAAGATCTGAAATAACTCAAGTCATCGTAAGAATCCACAAAGATCCAAAGGTGGCGGGCTCCCTGCAGGTGGTTACTCCACAGCAATCCAGTCCCATAATGGTGGTAATAAAGATTTCACATTAAGAAGCAATGAGAATTGAGGGGGACATGGGAAATACAGGCTGCTGAGACTGTTTATCAGCTGAGTGACTGCAAGCAAATTAGTTATTTAATCGCTTCTCCAAAGACTTGACAACGGGTGAAACAATTGAGCAGCTAGCATTAGATCCAGGCTCCAGTATTCAATGAAATTTTCACAGACTAAAAAGAAAACAAAAAAAACCTTCACAAAGGACCCGGAGTAATTTGTAAACTGCTACAGTCAGAAAACACTCAAAAGATGTGCTAGAAATTCTGGAATCCAACAAAAGGAACCTGTTATTTAAAAGGTTCATGAAATATAGGCTAGAATATCCTATTGTTATTTAAAAAATAAAAAGCTAAACACAGATCAAGCTAAACACAGATCAAATTCTATACTTACCAAAAGTAACAGATCAGTCAATTCAGTGCTTTCACGTTATAAACCACATGGATGCGGTATGGTCTATACTACGAAAAAAAGAGTCATGCCCCCAGAAGAAAAAATGAGGCGGTCCCTAGGAGAAAAATGAATATATATGGGCAAGGGCAGTAAAGCACTAGTTTTGTCAGCTTTGTGTTCAAACCAAAAACAGACACTTCAGGCATGTTCAAATATTAGAAGCCTTGACTGTTTAACCACAACAAGTTTCAAAACACAGGCACATAAATTATAGTAAAGACAAACACATCCTGTTTGCCCTCAACTTCCTGTTTTAGGCTACCTGATCTCTTTACTGCTCCCTAAACCAACAGCGTCAGACCTTCAACAAACAGGTAACCTTTCATATCTGCCAACAACAGGCTCACTGAACAGTATTTCATTGACAATAAAATCCACTGCTCAGACAAAGACATGCCTAACAAGCACCAAAAACAATCATGAGCCTCTAAGACACTTTCTGGATTTCCCATGCTTCACACTCATCTGAAATATAGTAAGCAATAAAAACACAAATAGTGCTTGGATAAGGAAACGAAGTCTCTTTTGCAAATGAGAAGGGAACCAAGAGATGAAAGAGTAGGGAGGGGAAGGGAAGGGGAAGTAAAAAGAATTAAAATATGTTACGTCCATGTACCAATGAATGGAGTCATTATATACTGGAAACATGAACTAATGTTTTTTAAAAAGGGCTGGAAGCTGGGAATGCTGGCACATGCTTGTAATCCCAGTACTTAGGAGGCTGAAGCAAGAGTATCGCTGTGAGTTTGAGGCCAGCCTGAACTGCATAGCAAGACTCTGTCTCAAAAAAATAAAATAAAACAATGAGTTCAAGGTCAGCCTGAACTACATAGCAAGCCCCAGTCTCAAAAAACCAAAATACATACAGAAGAAAAAAGGCTGCAAATGGAGCTTGGTGGTAGAGTGCTTGCCTAGATTCCTAAGGCCATGAGTTCAAATCCCCAGTACCAAAAAATAAAAAATTTTAAAACAACAACAACAAAAAAGAAAAGAAGTCTGAAACAAAACCTAGAATATGAGGGCTGGGAAAAAGAACAAGAAAACTTGGAAATGTTTTTATAATTATAAATGTTGGCACTTTCTTGAATGCAGAAGGAACAGATTTCTGTCAGCTGGTCCTTACTAAGCAGACGCCCAGCAGGGAGTGACTGAGATAGTTCACAGGGTCCTTCCTCCCCATGCATGCTCAATGCCCTGAATCCAACCCCCACCCACCGACTGTCTACCTCCACTCCAGACATAATTCCATTGCTCTCAAACTGTGGGCGGCTCCCCAGGACACACTTGCTATGAGAAGCAAATGCTGGGCAACAAATACACTGGCTCTTATGGACAAATCATTTAGCCTCTTTGGGTCTGTTTCTGCAAATGGAAAGTAGGAAGGGTGGACTACGTTAATCTCTGTTTCTTCCAGCTGTAGAAAAAACACAGGGGTTCAAAATTAACAGCAGAAGCTCATGTGGCTTCCTGTATTTTTTCTTTCGTCAAATAAGATGTCTCTGATATCCCGCACTTCTCAGTGTGAATATTATATGCCTTGATTTAAAACCCAAGGATTTTTTTCCCCTTGAAATGTGGATCAGAACATTTCTCACTTGAAAGCAATATACTGACAAACCTTAAGAATTGTTCTTCATATGTGGTCTTTTTATTAAAATCTTAATGTAATCACCACTCAATTCCCACACTAGTGATATGATTCACAGAGAGAAAAAGCACAGAGGATGGAGGAAATCTGACCAGCTGCATATGGCACACCCACAGGAGGACTGGTAATGGGGAAAGTATGAGATAAAATTTAGGCAAGGGAGTGGTGAAGACAAGCGCAGTGAGTCAATTCAAGGCTAAACACAGCAAGCACAATAGAAAAGGAAAGGGAAATGGGAAAAGAAAGAGAAGAGTGAGAACAGGAATCTGAAATTTATCCAGTCATCCATCCATTCATCATTCATCTGACTGATACCAAACGCAGAGAATTGAGCTAGGACGATGGAGAAATACAAAGGTCAGCCACACTGACTGCTCCATGAGGTTATGGTCTCATCGGAGAGATAAAGGCATGTACATAAACCACTGAAACGTATGGCAGAAAGTGCACTGTGCTACAAAGGTAACATAAAAGAAAATTCTCTGCTGTGAGACTCAGAGGAGGATGGGATTACTCCCAGTGATGGAGCAAACAAAGGAGGCTTCATAGGAAAAAAGACATTCTAAGCCAAAAGCAAAACAGAGATAAAGATACTCAAGCAGGAAATCAAGAACATAAGTACAATGAGTAACTGGATTTGACTTGAGACACAGGCAAGAATGAAGGGAGAAATGGTATTAATAATAATTGCTAGCAATCAAGACAGCCCTCGCTAAACCGGATAGCTGGACTGCAGCCCAAGTGAAAATTCAGCTGTCAGCTGATTGCTGAATGTGAATTTAAATCCAGTGGAGGAGGAACAGGAGAGGAAGAAGTTGAGAAGCTACGAGGTAAAGGAAATTCAAAATCTTGACCCATAAAATTAAAGTATTAATATCAACACAAAATTAATTTGTGCAGATACGTAAAGTCCCTCAAAGAGACAGGATATCTTCCAAACCAAAAGCAGGAAGAGAACAAAAAGGCTTGGATGATGGTATTAGTATATCTAAACAAAGGATGTGGTCAAATCAAAAAGTGGTCAACAAAGTAACTTGAAAAATCTAGGAAAAAAGGCAGGGCACATTTTACTCCAGAACCGCCCAAGGCAGAGAAATAGTGGAGCCCAGTGGCAAATCACCTTCTCTACTGTAGAACATGATTATTTCATGAAGCTTAAAAATGGGAACCATACATAGCAGCAGCTAGAGGGATGGGTTCCTGGAGTCAGAGGACTTGATTCCAATCTCCATGAAGCCTTGTATGGGTCTGAACAGATCCTTAGTTTCCTCACTTGTAAATTAAAGATAATTTGCACCCATTCTGCAGAATCACTGGGAGAATTATATGCCCAGCTATGCACAAGTATTTAATATAATACCCAGCATGGACTGGGGATCTAGCTCAGTGGTTCTGCCACATGCCTCACAAGCACAAGGTCCTGAGTTCAATCCCTGGCACCAAAAAAAAGAAAAAGTTTATAATACCCAGCATATAGTAAAGAAGTCAATAATCTTTGCTTTTTGCAACTGTATTTTCCCCATCCTATCTTACTATTTCATGTTCAATAAGCAAATTTGATATTAAAGAGCAACAGGCTAGCAAAATCCAAAATCATATTAAAAGGGAAGGAATTCTTAGCTCTAAAATAATAAATTGGCAGGCTGGGAATTTGGCTCAGTGGTTCGGCCGCCTGCCTCGCAAGCCCGAGGTCCTGAGTTCGATCCCCGGTAACAAAATAATAATAATAACAACAACAGCAACAATAAATTGGCATTTTAAGTTCAATTACTCAAGTCCAAATACAACAGTCTCTGAAAGACTGATCATTTCCAGATACTCAACAAAATACATTTTGTGACTCTAGACCATACATACCCTGAACATGGTAACCAAAACATGAGGGGTCTTCCTCAGAAGTTAGTGTGGTGTCCCTTTGGCCTAATTCCACCCACAATCAACAACAAGCCAATTTTTATACATTCTCTTACTTATTCTCCTTCCACCTCTCCTATACTCTTCAATCATATAACATTGTGTGTGATTCATCTGCCTTTCTAACCTTCTAGAAGCAAAAACATTTCTTTTCCCATTTTTTTCATTTTTTGCCTCCATATCCCAATATACGCTGCATCAGACAGAGCCACAATAAATATATATTAGAAGAATGAATTTCAAACACAATTTTTCTTAACCCAATCCACTGTAATCCACCATTCCTATACTGAGGCTGCTTTCAGGTTTACTGAACTCTTTTTTTCGTTTTCCCTCCTCCCCTGCACAACATCTCTATTACTGGATATTACAGAAAAGTCAGAAGATTTTATTTAACTGAGTTCTCCATAAATTTATACAATTGGTGCCAAGCTGTATCACTGGGCTCTGAAAACCTTTTATTCCTCTCAAGTTCATGTTCCAATAGCAACACTCTAAAGAGCAGTGTTGTGCAAGGTTAGGAGCACAGGACGAAAAGCCAGAACTCACAGTTCCTCCTGTGTGACTTCAGTCAAAGTGATCAGCTTCCTTACACTTCATGCTCCTCCTCTGTAGAATGGAGTGCCTGAAAGAGGGCATTCATGCAAACCCTTAAAAACAGGGAAAGTGTCTCAAACGGGAGCTAATGATGTTGTCTACTTGGTCTAAGCAATCTTCCAACCCCTGACCCTTCTTCCATTCTTTTTTGCCAGGTAACTAAGAACTCCTCACCTACTTTACCTTAACAATTCATTCTGGTTCCATATACGTGTTTATTCTGAAAGGCAGAGATGGTATAGTGGCAACAGAACTAGAATCAGGAGCGCACTGGAGCTAGATATACAATCACATCATTTCATCTGTGCCTCAGATTCCGTCACAAAAATTAGATGCTTTTTTTTTCTTTTCTTTTTTCTTTCTTTTTTTTTTTGGTACTGGGGATCGAACTCCAGTGCTTGAGTTTGCAAGGCAGGTGGCAGAACCACTGAACTAAATCCCCAGCCAGAGATGCTTTTTAACATGTTTCTTACAGAATCGCTGAGAGAGTGAATGGAAAAATATGATAGCACATTAAGCAAATGAAGAGGGAAAAAGTAAGATGTAAGATGTTTTTGTTAGGCCAGGGATGCAGTTCAGTGGGGCAGCGCCTGCCTGGCAAATGCAAGCTCCAGGGTTTGATTCCTGGTACCCTGCAAAAAAAGTTTTTTGTTTTTTTTTTTATTTAGTCAAACAGATCTAGTGTAAACTCTAGTTCGGTTACTCAACTAGTTGTGTGGCCTTGGCAAATTAAAATTTCCAGTCTTATTTCTGGTCTGTAAAATGGGTGGGCAGAGAGTATACATACAGGTTTACCAAGTTTGTTCATTTTCCATCCTACTCTCCGCTTCTTTCCTTTCTTAAAAATAACAAAACAAACAACAACAAAACCTTACTCACTGCCTCAATGGAGCACACCTTTTTGGGTACCAGGAATTAAACTCAGGGCTTCGCACCTGCCAGACAGGCACTGTGCCACTGAGCTACATTCCCAGCCTGCATATACCATTTCTGATCATCTGCAAAAAAAACCCAGCACAAAGCACATCTCCAACGCATCTGTATTTAATAGTAAACTGGTAAACTATAGACATATACTTCTATACAAATATACTATGTTCTATGTAAACCATAATACCAAAAAGAAATGTCAAAGGGTGATAAAAATAGTAGAAAAACTTAAAACCTAGTTCTAGTACTTCCTTTCTATAACCAAAAGGAAGGTCTAATGCATCCCTAAAATTTGGAAATTCACTTTGGTGGTCACTACACTATTTGAAAAACTGTTTAGAGACAAAAACAAATAGCTAGCCCAGTGACAAGCACTGAGCAGGTGCTTAGAAAATACTGGCCCACGAGTTTTTAAAATTTCACATACGTAGCTGGGCATAGTGGCACATGCCTATAACCCCAGCACTCGGGAGGCTGAGGCAGGAGGATGGCTGTGAGTTCGAGACCAGCCTGGAGTTCCAGGTCAGACTCAACTACATAGTGAGACTCTGTCTCAAAAAACCAAAAAAAAAAAAAAAAAAAAA